CATAATTTTGTTGTTAGCCTCTCGCACCATTGGTCTGGCAGCAGGCTGAAAATCAAAATGTTTTTCTAAGCATTGCAGACAAAGGAAATTCCACTGAATGACACAGTGTATGATAAGGCAGAGATTCCCAAGGTAGCATGTACATACAGTTTTAATTGCTTATAGTGTAGGAGTTAATAATTGCATTTTGAACAGTGTTCAGAGTACAGTTCCCCTTCCAACAATCTTCCTTCTAGGTGGAGTTCAGCTGCTTATTTTAATCTGCACTGCCATACATTTTACAGACAGGATCTCTAAGTGAGACTTCCAAAAAGTTCCAAACTTCAGGTCACACTGCTTACCTTTTGTCAGGGCTTCAGAAACCTCCATGCATGCCAGGATGTGAAAAATGAATCTTTCAGATATAAAATCAGTCAGTGAAACTTCATGCCGAATGTTCATAGTAAAGTCTACAGACAGAACTCATAAGTGGCTTTGTTTGAAGGACTGGCCACAGCATACATAAAAGGTGAAATAAGTTGTAATTAGATATATATTGTCCCTTTCTTTGCTTTAATAAAGCTTGTCCTGAAGCTTTTCTTGTATTGCCTCCAGTTGCATTTCACCATTTTTCTTTTCTTCCCCATCTGATGCTTAGAAATATAAAGTACTTGTAATGGCAGGGAAGGCTGTCCCAATATACTGAAGGCTATGTCTACACTATAGACAGGAGGTGAGACTGTCCAGTGTGTAGGCCAGGGTTCAGGCACGTTTTTAGTTAGGGTGCCAAAAACACCCGCAACCTCAATGTGTAAGATGTTGACATACTAGGGGCAGATAGCGGGGGAGCCACTAGGGTTCCAATCCTTGTTGTGGCACCTGTTCCAGGGGTTGCCTAGCTACCTGATACCTGAAGTGTCTTTAACCTAGCACCAACAGTATATTTCTCACTCTGTTCATTCTTCTTGACCTTGTCCTCTTGTGGTATGCTCATAGCACTGAACTGATTCATCTCACAGTGAGTTACAAGTGTTGAGGATTTCCCAAAATAAAGCAGCTACCCAAAGATATATGTATAAATACTGCAGAGACATAGCATGGAAAAATGTGTCCTGGGCAGCCGTCTCTTACCCTTCCCCTCACCCCCAAGTTTCTTGATAGCAGGCACAGGAACAGAGCAGAGAGCCAGGCAGCCTTGTGGGGCACGTGTTGGACATCTGCTCGACACATGATAATTAGTGCATGGAGCAGACTCAATCGAGTCTGCTCAAGCGTGTTAATTAACGCACTGCAGCAGCCTGCGTGTCATGTCTGTTCAGCGTCCAGTGCTTCAAAATGTCTGTGGGCATGCTTGTACTAAAGCGTGTCAAATGAGCTTTAGTTTAAGCACACCCACTGCCATTTTGAAGTGCAGGGTGCTGTATACATGTGACTCTGCGGGCACTTTAATTAGAGAGGCTCTCAGACCAGTCTAATTAAAGCACCTGCCCCTGCACTCTGGAGCATGTGTATAGATGCCCATGGAATGCAAGGCATTCTGGGAATCAAAGTCCTCCAGACTGGCAGTGGAGTTTGACCCCTATTTTTGGCTGCCAAAGCCCATGTCCAGAGGGCAAAAAAGGGCTAAATTTGGGAGGAAAAAATGGGAGTCAATTTGCCCTCTTCCTTTCTCCAAACAGCAGCAAACTCTACTGCTGCTCTACAAAACTACGATTCCCAGAACTCCTTGTGCTTAATGACACACATTGTCTGCCCCTGCAGTGTGTGTTCATAGAGGAAAGTATAAGCAGTGCCTCTTGAGTGAACCCCCGTCTGCCCCCCACACCTTTCCCCTTCAATGTCATCTAAGCATGTGCCACTCTGGTCCACCTTACGATACACTGCTGAAATACTGTGTTAGAATTTTGTGCTTTCTTACACTACCAAAATGTGGAACATAATGAAATTCACCACTTACAATGGAGAATCTACAACCTGAAGAAAAAAGAAGCCAGAGTACATAACAACATCTTTAGCCCTTTTTTTCACTATGCTGTGCCTGGCTTCCTGTGATCAGAGACCGATAAAAAATGTCTTGCATTTGAAAACTTGACAACCTTTATCCCAGCTACATAGCTGATCTAATAAAAGATGTCAACTTAAGAAATCCTTGCCCCTCATGCTTCCATCCTAATTCTGCACTGTGTTGCAGGCCAAAACAGACCCCACCCTAAATTTGTCAGCCTTGGATGTGTGCTTTGACTATAGTAGTAGTGCTTAGACTACAGGCGTATCTGTGTTTTTCACAGCAGTATGTATTTCCATAGTGCATACTTCCACAGTCCTATGTACTGCAATCCCTCCCTGATACAACTTTCCCAGCTCCAGTTCCTTTCCCAGCATGTCCCATGAAATAAAACTTGTCAAGTCAATTTTTTACTTTGAGAATTCTCCTTCAGCTGAACCCTTTGCCATTTTAGAGCCCTTTGTACTGCTCCTGGCTCCTTAGAGAAGAAGTGAGGAGCCCACCAATGTATTTAAAATAGAGGAACGAAGTGAAGAAAAAGAAAAACATTTAATTTTATTTTCTTTTAATCATGGTTTATAAAAAGCCATAACAGAAAGAGTCAGAAGATGTAATTTCAGAACTAAAACACTTTTAACCTTATGTGTTAATGAAGTGGTGCTGTTAGCTCAGTCCAGAAAGCTTCTATACTCATTTTCTTTACGTCTTTGGGACAGCAACTGTCACTTCCCCATTAGCTCCGATTCTTTCTTTCTTTGATTTTAGGTGTTGAAGCTCCTCATTAGGACACTGCCTCAGCTTTCAATTCAAACTCAATACACAACTGCTTTTCCTACTTAATTGTTTCCATTATGAGATGACATGACCTAACTAACCTAACTGGCTGAATTTCTGGCTTGGGTGACTTCAGTCTTTGAACATGTTAAGTATATTGGCCCATTTCAAAGCTCTTTTTTGAGCTTGTGTAGTATAAGCATGCCTGATGCCTAAAGGATATGCTGTCTCCCATGGGCATTTGAGTAAAAGCTTTTGCTAAGGCATGTCCTTTCATATTTGAATGAAATTCCCCTCACAGGGAGTGTGCCTGTCCAGGAAGCCAGCCCACGCTTCTTTTAAAACAAATTTCTTGTGGATACAAATATGCAGAAATGTATGTCTAGGAAATAGATCCAACTATTTTTATGGTGTTCTTGAACTTTTTATTGGTGCACATCAGAGGAATTAATCATTATATTCATGCATGTCACACTGATACTGCTCTAAATATACAGCCTGAAATAGCGACAAACAGATATGGGAAAGAAATCTGGTTTTGCCAAGTAACTCTGTAGCATAGATGCTTCAGCTCCTCAAAGTGAACTTACAGCTACCAGTTGACCCTGAACTTTGATGTGAAAACCATGTGTGCTGTGATTGATGCCACAACCTTGTTAACTAATTTTTTAACTCCTGATCTTAATTCAAGCCTACACTTCCTACAACTTGCCTCTTTTCAACCTCTGGCATCTATCTCCTTTCATTCTTCCACCCTCAGCACAAATCCCTGTCCCATTTTTTTCTCCTGTGTTTATCTTATCTTGTTTATTGAGCCCTATGTGTCTGAACTCCCATTTTCAAACAATCTACCAGTGGTGCTCAAACTTTTTTACAAGTAGACTAAACCTTAAAATCAGAAATGGGCTGAGGGCCACATGGAAAAGCATTGCTGGATCTCTGCAGGCACAAAAACAGGCTGTGGGCAAAGCTGAATTCAGGGGCAGGGAAAAAGAGGGGGCAAGTGGTGGTGACATTCACCCCCCTGGACTCTGAGCTGCATGAAATTGTACGCTCCAGCCAGAACCTGCACTGACATGTGGAACTCCAAGCCATTCACACGGGCTTTATGGGCCAGATGCCACCCATGAGCCACAGGTTGAACGCCACCGATCTGGCACATCTTCCTCTTCCTTTTTTGTACCTTTTTAAAATTCACTTCCTGAAGGCAGCTTAACATTATGACCGGTGTTTTCAAATTGGAACATCTGAAATTCTGCACCAGTAATCTCTGCTAACTTCTGTGGGGACTATCAGTGCCCCAATCTAGATTTAAATACTGGATTTCAGAAAGGTTTAAAAACCTTTAGGTTATTTTAATAAATAGCTCTTTGCATCCATTAAGGCATGTGGAATAGTACCTCATGATCCTCCCGTCATTTCTCTTATGTTTCCTATGTTTTTGTTTTCCTGATTCTGCAATGAGCTTTATCCGGGCAGACCTCCAGATATACATGTGGAGCCCTGCTGACTTGAGTAAAACTGTATATGTGCAAGGGCCTGGTTGCATGGAGTTGGCTTACGACATGGCCTTAGGGCCTGATCCAAAGCCTGCTGAAATCACTGTACATTTTTCTGTTGACTTCCATGGGTCTGGACGTACCCCTTATACTATAAACTCTTCAAATATGGGCTCAGTGTTTGTACTGTAAACATTGGTGTCACTGTGTAAGTAGTAAATTACTCTTGTGTACTCCTTCCATCCCCCAACAACATTCATTTGGCAGACATTTCCCTTGCAAATACTTGAAGCTGAGACTATAGACTGTTTTGTATTGAGTATGTATTAAATGAAGGAAATAACAGAGGCAGTGACATTAAGTTAATGTACTTGAAAGAAAGCATTTGCCTATCATGTTGGTAAATTAGTGAAAAAAGATACTGCTTTTCAGAAGTGTTTCTGATCCTAAAGCAGGAGACCAGTAGGCTATGGCAGAATCAGTTAAAGCTGTTCCCAGGGATAGTATTACAGTTACACAGGACAAGTTTAAAGTTTGCTAAAAGGAGATAATGGGGTATTTCTTCCAGTCAATTGCTATGTTCCTTTTTTCATGTGGTATAACATATACATCAAAAGAGAAATTTGCACTTTGATTCTTTCAGAGTATTGTACTGGTACATTGGCCAAATTCTGGATGGCATGCATATACTTGCACTGTGGAATCTCTAGTTGGTAGTGGGAATACATGGTAAAAGTTTGCCATGCTGGGCCTTGACTCTTTGAAATGCTACAAAACCCCAGTGCACCAGTGTTCAAGGGGTGTGGTGAGGAGGCTGGAGTGTATGATCTCCAGGTAAGTGTATATTTCTGATTAGATTATACTTTTTCCTTCTGTTAATTACATTTTCTGTCATTGTATTTAATTTCCAGTAGTTTATTTTCCACACAATTCACTTTCCTTTTGAACCTCTATACCAGGAATTTCCAAACTTTTCTGTATTGCAGATAACATCTTAATAGAGTGATGGTTTCAGGAACTGCCACCTATTCCATTTAAATCATAAAACAACCTGGTAGTACTTAGAATAATCACTGGCAAGAGAGAGTAATGTAAGATACATATTTTATGCACTTTGGGTGCCTATACATGAGCAGAGAGGCTGGTTCGATGCACTGTAATCACACAGTTGAATCTGCCGGAACTTGGTATTTACCATGCTCTGGCAGCCTTCAGCATCTCATGTATCAGCATCCCTGCACTTTAAAATGGCAGCGGGAGAGCTTTAGCTAAAGCTCGTTCACTACTGGATCTGCTTGTTCCTTGTGAGCTGGATGAAAAAACAGACCAGTTGAATTGCATCTCAGAACCTAATTAATTTTTTTATTTCAAGTTTATTACAAGTCAGGGAGTTTGCACAACAGTGTTGTAAACTGACAGCTATTAAAGATATCCAGCTATGTTATGAGGGAGAACATAGATTTCATAGATTTCATAGACATTAGGGCTAGAAGGGACCTCGGAAGATCATCAAGTCCAGCCCCCTGCCCGAAGGGCAGGAAGTCAGCTGGGGTCATAGGATCCCAGCAAGATAAGCATCCAATTTACTCTTGAAGGTGTTCAATGTAGGTGCTTGAACCACCTCTGATGGCAGGCTGTTCCAGACCTTGGGGGCTCGGACAGTAAAGAAATTCTTCCTTATGTCCAGCCTGAGTCGGTCTTGCAGTAATTTGTAACCGTTCGACCTCGTCATCCCTTGGGGCGCTCTGGTGAACAAATGTTCCCCCAGATACTGGTGGTCACCCCTGATAAACGTATAGGTGGCCATCAGATCATGAGCCTGCGCTTTTCCAGGCTAAAGAGTGCCATAGCTCTCAGTCTGTCGTCATAAGGTCTGTTTTCCTGACCTCTGATCATGCGCATGGCTCTTTGCTGGACTCTCTCAAGCTTCTCCACATCCTTTTTGAATTGTGGAGCCCAAAACTGGACGCAGTACTCCAGCTGCGGCCTCACCAAGGCTGAGTACAAGGGGAGAATGATGTCCCGGCATTTGCTTGAGAAGCATCTATGGACGCAAGCCAGTGTTTTGGTCACTTTACTAGCCACAGCATCACATTGCAGGCCCATGTTCATCTTGTGGTCAATGATGACCCCCAAGTCTCTTTCTTCAGTAGTGCTAGCCAGCGTACCACTGTCGAGCCTATAAGGATGCTGCAGGTTTTTCCTCCCAAGGTGGAGAACCTTGCATTTTTCAGTGTTAAACACCATCAGGTTCTCATCCGCCCATTTGCTGAGCCTGTCCAGGTCAGCCTGGATTGCCCTCCTGTCTTCAGGTGTGGATGTTTTGCCCCAAAGTTTGGTGTCATCGGCGAACTTGGCCAGTCCGATTCTGACTCCAATGTCCACATCATTAATGAAGATATTGAACAATATGGGTCCAAGGACAGAGCCTTGGGGGACCCCACTGGTCACAGGGCACCATGACGATTGACTTCTCTCAATTACCACACTCTGGGTCTGACCACGGAGCCAATTACGCAGCGAGTGGATCGTGGTGGACCCAAGGCCACAATTGGCCAGTTTTGCCAAGAGGTGATCATAGGATATCAGATCGAAGGCTTTTTTGAAATCAAGATATATGACATCAATCTCTTCTCCCTTGTCCAGGTGATAGGTCACCTGGTCATAGAAGGTAATAAGACTGGTCAAGCAAGACCTACCCGCAACAAACCCATGCTGGCCATCCCTCAGGATGTTGGCGTCGGCCAGTTCATTAAGGATGGCCTCTTTAATAAACTTTTCTAAGATCTTCCCCAGGATAGAAGTCAGGCTGATGGACCTATAGTTCACTGGATCCAGTTTCCCCCCTTTCTTGAAGATAAGCACCACATTGGCCTTCTTCCAGTCTTTGGGCACTACACCAGAGCACCAAGAGTTCTCAAAGATCCATGCCATGGGCTGGGCTATGATGCTCGCCAGCTCCTTGAGTACCCTGGGTGTAGATTGTCAGGGCCGGCTGACTTGAAGGTATCCAGCCTCTTGAGGTTTTCCTTCATGAGGTCAGCATTGATGGAAGGCAGGGGATCTCCCTCACCCAGACCTCCCTGTCCTGTCGTGGGCGTGGGTGTCCCATGGGACTGATGAAAGACCGACGCAAAGTACCCATTTAATAGGTTGGCTTTTTCCTGGGCGTCAGTTGTCCCATCTGGTTTAGTAGGGGTCCAATGTTGCCCTGGCTTTTCCTCTGGCTCCCCACATATCTAAAAAAGAACTTTTTATTGTCCTTGATGCTCAAAGCTAGTTGGAGTTCAGTTGCAGCCTTGCAGAAGAAATGTAAGATTGATATGCCTGTGATAGAAGCCTGTAACATGAGATATTGCAATGGAGTATGTACCTTTGAGAAGTTATGATCTAATACGTTTTGGACATAAGGGAGAAAAACAGGGTACTAATTATTATTTTTTGCTATGTTTAAAAAAAATTAATCTTTCTGGTCAGGTACTACCAGTACCAGATTCACATTTTGAACGAACATTTCCATGCTTGAATTTCTAAAATTCTGTGGTTATCAACTGCTGGTGATTGTACTTTTTAGTTTTCTGTCTCAGATTTGATTCAGCTTTTCATAAAGCTATTCATGTAATGATGTCTGTTTAATAAGTTCTTTGCCAAGGGTGTGTTGTAGGGGTGTGGGGACTTCTATAAGCATTGCTCTATTTTCTTGGTTTTTTGTAATTCATTGGGGTATGTGTCTAATATTAAATCTTATTATTAGTTTGATTAATATTAAGATTACTGGTTCCATTTTTAATGGTTCCATCTTTAGTGGAACCAGTTCAGTTCACAAGCCATTGTTACAAAATACATCTGCTAAGTAATCTACCTTCTGCAGATTTCGGTAAGAAACATGCAAGGAGATGTATCGCTCGGGAATAAATTAATTGGGGGGGATAAACTGCTTCTGCATCAGTCACCTCTTTTTCACATAGTCAGCTTTCACTTATTAAAGCAATCAAGTATGAGACAAGCTTTCCTCCTCCTCCTTTTTGCTACAGCATGCTGCTGTTGTGTTGTAACTGAGTTAAATCACTGTAAATTTAATTCTGAATGGTCCGTGGTTACAGTTTATAATGTATCTGTTTTTCTCCATTTATGCTGCTGTAGGAACTTGTTGATAAAAGTCACATTGTGCTCAGACTAAACTGGTATAACTGTTACCTCATGTCCAAGCCTTCAAATAGCTGCTGTTGTGCCCTGCCCAGTGCTTCTGTCACTTTGCCAGGGCAGAGCTGCAAATCACCTACTTCACGCCCTACTTAGCCTGTCAGAGAGTCATAAACTCTCATCTTTGCACCATAAGTCCCCTGAGGCATCTGATCTGTGCACTACATTCAAAGCACCTAAACAATATTTAGGTCAGTACAAAGCATGGCAGCCACAGCCACTTTCATTCAAAAACACCAATGATAGTTGGAGGGGGTAATTGTGCTATTGCCAGCCTTTTATGTAATAGTGGAGTTGGTAAAAAAAACTTGTTTCAGAAGTAGAAAATATGGGTTTGGCTCCTAACACCATGTATGTGTCCACTGACACTAATGCAAATTTATAAGCAGTCTCTAGGGCAGGGACCAAAACCTAGATCTTCCCTGTCCCAGGGGAACACCCTTATTACTGGGCTAATGACTCATGTTCCTCTTGTTTGCTTGTTTTCTGGCTTGCCCTATGAATTTCATTTTGGCACGTGAGAGGTGGAGAGTGCCATCAGTCCAGCCTAGCTGATCGCTTTATGCTAAGAACACTTTCCTGGAAGGTAGAAGGTGAAGGTTGCAGCCTAAAATTCATTTCTTGGGACACATTCTCTAACCCCTAGACTAGTATATAAAATGTGGATGGCAAACACCACTTCCTTCATCTCCATTTCCACAAAGGTGCCTCAGTCATCATAAATCCAGGAAGAGATTTTGGGCTGCAAAATCCCAGCCTCACCTTGGTGCCTAAGGAATTAAGAGAAACAGGATATCAGATACCTCCTCTTTAGCATTTCCTGTTGCTGTACCTGGCTCACACCTGGCCTTGCTGTTCAGCATGCTGTACTGTGAATCCCATCTCCAGATGCCTACTTCTCCCCATTTAAGCACCAAATGCAAGTTTGTGAATTCCATTTCTGGAGATGAGTGCCTAAAAATTAGATAAAGTGACACTGTGTCAGCAAGCCTGATCCCTTCTGTGGATCTGGACTTAAGTGAGTAGCCCAAGGTCATGCAAGATGTCTATAGCAGGGCAGGAGGTTGAATCCAAGTTACCACCCTAGCCTCCCTTCCTCTAGTTGTTAGGATAGTGAGGGGACACTGCCAGGAGGGTTGCACTCTGACTACTGCAATGTGACTGGCAGCAAACAAAACCAGACATGTACTGGAAATGTTAAAACCAGACCTGTTTTTGAATGGCCAAAAAACCCCGCAAAAAACCAGGGAAAGGATGATAGAAAATAAGTGACAAGTTATATTCATTTATTCTGTTTATAGCTTTTATTGTGCTGAGAAATGTTGATTAGGGCTGAAACATGGTCTAGGTTTTTATATCTATAGTGTTATCACTTGGCAAAGATTTATATGACATTATGACATCCCTTTTCAGCAGGCACCACTATCGTAACTACATAAGACCTCTTGTGCACGTAGACAGCTGTTCAGCTGGGGCATATTGCACAGTAAAGACATGGACTATTACTGTTTCAGGAAACATTATTATGTACAATTATCTTTATTTTTGTATCAATAATGATATTGGCACTTTCACTGTGTGTTTCATCTAAAGATTGCAAAAACGCTTTGCAAATACTATTTTTGTTAAAC